GTCTGTCATCCGGGACTACCTGGTCCAAAAACTGCAGAAACAAAGCCAGCAGATCGCCCAGGACGAGCTCCGGGTACGGCGGTACCGAGAGGAGACCACCCGCATCCGCCAGGAGATCCAGGAGCTCAAGGCGAGGTACTTGGCATTTGGATATGTAGAGGGGTCCAGGGGATAACCTTGTTCGCAGGGTGTCATTAAATACTTTTCAAAGACAAAAGATTATATGGAGTATGTTTGAGCATTTCATGCTTGAAGATCTGTTTTAATGGAGGAATTCCAAAGAAGGGTTTATTCCATAGATTGTTGTTTACTAGGCTTTGGAACATATCAGCTAGTACAAGTACTTTTCTTTTTGTATATGCCTGACTATATTTTATATTTTCTACACACATATCTAAGTTATGTGGCTAGAAGTCATTTAGAAGTAAAAACTTCGCTTTAGACAATACAAAAAGTGGCCTGGCTGGTGTGGCTCAGTTGGTTGAGCGTTATACTATTGATGTCTCTCTCTCCCTCTCCCTGCCTCTCTCTGAAATCAATAAAAACATATTAAAAATATATGTAATCTATATATAAAAAGTGAATAATTTATATGTATGTATAATAGACATTAATGTCTACTCTTAAGTCTTATCTGCCCTTAACTTTTTTTTTTGCCCTTAACATTGTATAGTATTTATTGGAGAGCAACTCCATGAATATTTACTGAGCCCCTGTTATGTCCTAAGCACTGTTCATTTATTTTTTTAATCCTCACCCAAGGATATTTTTTCCATCACTTTTCAGAGAGTGGAAGGGAGAGAGAGAGAAACATCGATGTGAGAGAGACTCATTGATTGGTTTCCTCCCACACACACCCTGACTGGGCCAGGGATCGGGCCTGCAACCGAGGTACGTGCCCTTGGCCGGAATTGAACCATACTGGCTAGGGCCCGAGTACTGTTCTTAACACAAAGCCCTGCCTTCATGAAGCTTACATCGTAGAGGTAGAGAAAGACAATTAACATGTTAAGTAAGCAAAATATTATAGTATGTTAGATGGTGATAAGTTCAAAGGAGAAAATTAATTGAGGAAAGGGAGTAGGGTGAAGAGTGTGTGTGTGAGATAATTTATAAGGTTTTCGGGGAAAGGCTTCTCTGAAAGGGTCACATCTCAGTAAAGACCTGAAAGACAATTTTGTTGCAGTTTTGAAACCAAAAGAGAAAAGTGTCCCCCTGGGTTAGTTGGACTTCCTGGGAGAATACTGAGACTTACTGCAGGCCCAGCACTGTTGTTGTCTTCTGACCTTTATTAGGTGGTAAGAAGAGCAGGGCTTGGATCTCTCTCCTCTTGGCTATTGGCCCTGCCCTCACTGTTTGCCACTCCTTTCTGGTCTCCCTTGCCTGTAGTCCGAAGATTTTCCAGAAGACTAAGTGCAGCATCTGTAACAGTGCCTTGGAGTTGCCCTCAGTCCACTTCCTCTGTGGACACTCCTTCCACCAACACTGCTTTGAGAGTTACTCAGAAAGTGATGCTGACTGCCCCACCTGCCTCCCTGAAAACCGGAAGGTCATGGATATGATCCGGGCCCAGGAACAGAAACGAGATCTCCATGATCAGTTCCAGCACCAGGTGGGAAAGAATGGGATAGATGAGGACCCACTCACAGAATCAGGGGAGCACTATAGTGCTTTCCTGCTCTTATTTGAGGACATGAGCACTTCAGTTCTGATTCCTGCTTCTCTCCTCTTTCCCTACAGCTCAAGTGCTCCAACGACAGCTTCTCTGTGATTGCTGACTACTTTGGCAGAGGTGTTTTCAACAAATTGACTCTGCTGACTGACCCTCCCACGGCCAGGCTGACTGGAAGCCTAGAGTCCGGGCTGCAGCGGGACCTGCTCATGCACTCCAGAAGGGGCACTTGAGCAGCCTGTGGGAGGGGTGTGATAGTGAAGGCACAGCAGCAGGGACACAGGAGGACAGAGGCAGGGCTGTTGTACAGGAGTCAGACAGACATGTCCAGGACTCCACTCTGATCTGATGCCATAGCCTTCAGGACTAAAGGGGATTTTTCCCCCCTGCCTTCTCTTTGGTCATTCCACTGTTCCTCCTGTTCACTTTTAGAGCAGTATGGATTATTCAAGACCAGTGGGGGAGGGCACCTCAGCAACCTCTGAGTCTAGACAATAGCTGCTTTATTCTCTATCCAAGAGCACCAGTCTGTGCTTGGGTCCTTGCTCCCAGAGTCTATAAATAAAATAATGATTTCAGCCCTGGCTGGTGTGGCTCAGTTGGTTGGGCATTGTACCGTTCACCAAAAGGTTGCTGGTTCGATTCCCTGTCAGGGCACATGCCAGGGTTTCGGGCTTGTTCCCCATGAGGGGACATGCAGGAGGCAGCTGATCAGTTTCACTCTCATGTCCATGTTTCCCTCTCACTCCCTCTCTAAAAATCATTTAAAAATCTTTTTAAAAAATAATGATTTCAGGGTTGATAAACTTACTTTGGGGACTTGCTGATGATTCTTAACTCTGTAGAATACACTTCTGTCCTATGTTCCTAGAGCTCCACTCTCCACTTCCCTTACAGAGCTCCGTAAAGATCATGTTGATTGGACTTCATTTCAGTAATGGGTGGGGTCTGTGGCATCTAGTAGAGTTCAGTTTATTAAAGAACCTCTGCAAAAGATGTAATGCCTGAGCTCCAAGAGCATTTTGGACTGTGGCCCCCAAACAGTTCCTGCTCTTTAGTCTGGCTGGTCTCTGTGGCTCTTTGTTTGGACACAATATTTAAGTAGGAGGCAGATTCTGATGAGCCTTGGGCTTAAGTCTTCTGCCTTCATAATGGGTAGACTGGTGTCTTGCTCTGTTCAGTATCAGATAAACAGGGTAAAAGGGTCTTATTGAAACACATTCCGTCTTTCCAGTTGTCAGCTGAACTTGGTGCTGCTGGTGTCTGCATGTAATTTGGGTTGCATTGCTTGTCAGAAATTGCTCCTATGGGTTGTTTCATTGAAGGAAGCAACTTGGACGCTGTGGTTTGGGTAGTATTTAAAAGAGGCAGGGTACACAACCTATATTTGTAGTGTCTAAGACTACAAATGGAGGTTCAGTGGAGTTTGATTCTTCTTTTGACTTAGAAATACTCTTAATTTCTGTGAACCTTAGTTTCCTTCTCTGTACATTAGGGATAACATCTTTCTTTTATGGCCCTTATGAAGGCCTGTGACATGAATGGGTGTCCGTGCAGATCTTTGTATAGTGATTCGTGCATGGGTCTCCAGTACAGGTTATTAGTAACGTTGATGAGTAAAGCATTTTTTCTAACGCTCTTTTTCCATGTTTAGCACTCCCACTTCACAGTTGTTTTTAGACAAGACCTATAATCTCTGAACCTCATTTTAAAAATATAAATTGCCTACTTCAGGGTGTAGCAGAGCTAAGTTTGAACAGAGCAAAGGAAGTGCCACATGAGTTGCTCTAATTGCTTGTGCGGCAGCGAAGGAGATAAAGCTGTGAAATTCCGGATGACCAGCTTAATGGAGCACTCTCCTTGTAGGTGCTCCATCCAGCCTAGGGAGGAGCACGGTGAGTTGCTCAAGGACCCTTTACTTCCAGCGCAGCACTGTACGGTTAACACCGGCTCCTTGTCCTCTTGGGGCTAACTTTGGCTAAACGGACCATCTGAGTGGTGGTGGGAGGGGACTGCAAAAGGGAGCAGCTGGCTAATCGGGGGAGCTGCCTTAGCCACTGACCGTCGTCAGTGTTGCTGGCTCAGAACAAGGTGTAGGTGACGGTAGAAATGACTAGGCCGCAGGCCTGGGTCCCAAACCGGGAAGACGGGGCAAAGACTGCCAGCCTCGCCTCAGTCTGGCCCAGCGGGGGCGGGAGCCCAAGGCCTAGGTCTCCTCTGTCGCAACCGTTCCTAATTCCCGCCCCGAGGGAGGCGCCTCCCCTCGGAGGGCGGGCGCCGGTAGTGACCTAGGGCCCGGCCGAGCCGGCGGGCTGCAGGACGAGCTCAGGCC